ATTTCAGACAATCAGACTAAAATAGTCTGATAAAATCAGCCCTGCCTACAGCCCTAGTTTTGTATCCCTCTACAATTTCCCCTTAGCACACATTCTCGATAACCTAACATGTGGTACTCGGGTTCCAAGAAAAAATTACGTGACAATGTGAAGTAACACAGACTACCGTACACAAGCCTGCATAAGGAGCACCATCAGCTTTCTTCAGCTGGCCTTTGTTCCACGCCTCACGACCACGCCTCCACCATGAGTCGCCCAGCTCGCTGCAGTGCCTTCACCCACACCCGCGCCTGCTCCTCCTCCACCCCACCCTCCCTCCTCACCACGTCCTCCAACGCACGTGTGACATCTGCCGGCATCTTATTGGCCGAGCCAGCAATGAACACCGCTGCACCCTGCTGCAGGAACTGCCATACCTGGCGAGAGTTGGCTCGAATCAAGTGCTGCACGTACACCTTGGACGGCTGGTCACGGGAGAAGGCCACAAAGAGGCCACCTCCCCTGTCTTGCGACAAAGGCGTGTCAGTATGCCCCTCCTCCTGGCGCCCCACATCGATGCTCCTGACGCCCCCAGTTGCTTCTTCTTGTGGCATTCCAGCCTGCACTCTCGATTCCTTCACGCCTTCAGCCCCATGAACCCCATTCCATCCATCCGCTTCCCCCATGTCTGATGCACTGCCATTCACCTCTCCCCTCGCACTCCCTGCCGTCCCCTCCTCCCTCCCAGCACTCCCCTCCAGCCCCGCATGTTGTTGCTTCCCCGCCAGTTGCTCCCACTCCGCCTGGTACAAGTTATCAGCATACTGCGACCGGCACCCAAAGAAGAAAAGAATTGGGGCAGGCAGGTCGCCAGCTACACCAGCAAAACCATCTCCAGCAGCAGCAGTGGCAGCACCACCAGCAGCAGGAAGGCATGCTCGTTGGTGGATGAAGGAGCGGAAGGGAGCACAGCCGGTGCCAGGCCCAACAAGAATGAGGGGCACGGAGGGGGGAGGCAGAGACAGCGTGCCGGGGGTCACCCAGATGGGCAGAGGCGACGCTGATGGGGAAGCACATGAGAAGGGTGGGAGCACATGAGATGGGTGGGAGCACATGAGAAGGGTGGGAGCACATGAGAAGGGTGGGAGCACATGAGATGTGTGGGAGCACATGAGATGGGTGGGAGCACATGAGATGGGTGGGAGCACTTGAGATGGGTGGGAGCACTTGAGATGGGTGGGAGCACTTGAGATGGGTGGGAGCACTTGAGATGGGTGGGAGCACATGAGATGGGTGGGAATGGCAGCAGGGAGGATGGAGAGGCGTGACGCGGGCAGGGAGGGGAAGACATGTAACGTGTTCGTAAGAGGAAACGATGAGATACAAGGGAGACTGGTAGGGCAGGAGTGGAGTGGTACCACTTGCACGATCCTGCAATAACCTACAGCCCTTAAAACCCTGAAAAACCAACAGGCGAGGCACACCCACCTTGGCCTGGGAGCAAGGAGGCGAGCCATCTTGAGCAGAGGCCGAGGCGGGTGCGCTTGAGCGGGGTGGTGACGCTCACGAGGGCGGCTGTGAGGTGGCAGCGGGCGGGGTGGGCGAGAGGGGAGGAGGAGATGGAGAAGGAGCGCGGCTGCAGGCGCGGGCACAGCTGCAGCAGCCAGGGGAGCGGGAGGGCGACAGACGGGAACTCTTGGAGCACCTGGAAGGGGCGCAAGGGAGGGAGGGCCGTAGGAAGGGTGCAGGGTTGGACGGCGATGCCAGGAGAAGGGAATTGGCGGAGTATAGGTGAAAAAGCAGGGGCTGGGAGAAGAAACAAGGGAGTATCCGAATCAGGAAATAACAGTAGAGGTACAAGGGCCGGAAAAGGCACTTGAAGCACAGTTGCGGAATGAAACACACTACGTCACCAACACACGTCAACACCCATCCTACCCCCACAACACACGGTGGCTTCCCACCCCCCACCTCCAGCACGGTGCGCCTCTCTCTTTGGTTGTACTCATGCAGCTCCTCCCGCCCCTCCGGCGATGCCAGCCACGCCAGCTTCTCCTGCTCGCGCTCGTCTGAGGCAAAGCGACCCAGCACCTGATGGCCGCACACACAGGGGCAATGGTGCAAGGGGTGGAGCGGACACGGTGGGGGTTGAGGGGACAGGAGGGATGCAGACAAGTTTCTTATAATGGGTTGCTGAGAAGCAGTGGCGATTCCCCAACAAGGCACTGGGCCAAGCATGAATGGGCTCGGGATTCAGGGCTTGAATCCAGTCAGTTGAAAAGAGGAGGAGAGTGGTTGGCACACACATGATGAACAAGCGGGTGGTGTGCACACACCTCGAAGAAGTAGGCGCGCGGCGACGCAGAGTTGATGTCGAGAGTGGCGGCTATGAGCGAGAGGAGAGACATGGAGCGGGCAGGTGCAGGGGAGGAAGGAGTTAGGCCTGCTGCTCGCACCTTTGTGTGTGTGTTTGTGTGTGTGTGTGGGAAGCAGGGGGGGAGGGGAGAGGAGGGACATTGGGTTTCTGGTAGAAACAGCGTTGCTGGCATTGGAGGTGGAGAGATGGGAGGGAGAGACGGAGAACGAAGGTGATAGGGCACTGGGGGAAGGGATGGCACTAGGGAGCAGCACTGAGGGAAGAAATGCATGACAGGTCGAGAGAGTGAGGTCACTAGGCAGGTGCGGACGGCTAGGAATACCGAGTGTGAAATATAGAGGGGAGGGTTCGAGAGCAGAGAGAGAATGGCCAGACGAATGGGCAACAGGAGAGAAAGATGGCACCGACAGTAGGTGGGTTGCGTGTGAAGGTTGGCTACATGGTGTCATGAGAGAGGGGAAACACATACAGCAATGTCGATGGATTGCAGGAAAGACTGCGTGGCACGACAGCTTGGTACTTGAAGGCCATGATTGCACCATATGATAGAGGGACTGACCACGACTTGCATATGCGGGTGCAGGTTGCAGCGGTGCAGCAGAGCCAGCACCGCGGAGCGAGGCTGCGAGGGAAACACATGCAGCACGTCCCCAGGAGAGTACTCGGGGCCCTGGGAGAGGGAGGCGAGGTGGGGGAGGAGGGGGGAAGCGAAGGAGGGCGAGAAAGCGAGAGATAGAGAGGAGGAAACGAGCAAGGGAGGAAGGGGGAAGAGGAGGAGGAAGGAGCGCGGGTAATCAAACGGGAGATACATATGGGAGCGGAAGAGGAGCAGGGTTAAGGGGCTATTCAGGGGCGGCCAGCATATGAGCACAGCAGCGGCCCACACTAATTGGGGTATAACACACTGCCTCGCTAATCGAACCTTGCCATTGAAAACCAGATCGAAGGGGTAGAAATGACGCACTCCATTCCAGACTGGCTTCTCACAACTCTTCACAACCAGTGAAACTACTGCTCGGTCACAACAACTGCTTTATCCTCTGCACTTAAACCAACGCATAAATGACTCCCCCAAGCAAAAGCAGTCTCAGCAGCAGCAGCAGCAGCAGCAGCAGCAGCAGCAGCAGCAGCAGCAGCAGCGGCAGCAGCGGCAGCAGCAGCAGAAGCAGGAGCAGGAAACACCAGCCTCATACCCCGTGAGTGTTGAGCTCAATGTGCCGCACGTCCTGCCAATGGCCCTCAGCTGTCAGGCGCCGATTCACCTCCTGGTGGGGGCACGGGATTACACGCCACAAGCAAATCTCATTCCTTGCTGTCGCCCCTTCTCTACTCCCTTCTTAACGACCTGGTGCAGGGAGCCGAAGCCATCAAGCCCTGCCAACGGTGCTGTGAAGATAGGCGGGTTGGGATGCATGCAGCAAGCTCCTGTGCATGTCAAGTCACCCCGTGGAGGTGCCATGGTGTGTAGGGCATTGGATGGGGGATTACGAGAAAGACAACGAGCTGATGGGACTTTTTGCAGGGATATGACATGCAAGAAGCAAGGAGAGGGAAGACAAAGCGAGCAAGAGCCACGGGTTTAGGAAAGAGCCAGAAACCATGGCATGAGGAAGAGTCGGCCGCGACGGTACAATGCTAGCGACAGAAATTATAAAGAACAGGCAAACAAATCCGAACCCTTTCTTGCGGAACCAAGAATCATGTGTATCACACACCAGCGTGGCGAGGAAGGGATGGTGGCGGTGGAATGCACGCCTTTTCTCCGCCGCACCATCATCGCCACTTGCTGCTGCAGTCGCAGGAGATGCAGCACCGGTTGCCTCAAGTAACGCCGGTTTGTCCGGGGTAAAACCAGTGGGAGCAGAAACAGGAGCGTCCGGGGAATGGGGTTGAGCGTTGGCGGAGGTGTGTGGGGTCCACGGGGCAGAGAGGGCAACGTCCATCATGCCCACTGCTTCTGCCATCTCCTTCGACCATGGCACCCAGTCGCCTGCTGCTATGGCTGGTAGCACAGGGAGGGAGGGGCGGGGGGGGGAATGGCAGGTGAGAGGGATGTCTGGGGGAGGGACGGCCCTAGGGAGGTGAGGGGGGGACGTTGACTTAGGTAGAAGCGGGCAGAAAGCATTCAGGGGATGCAGTTGATGCACCTGGTGGGTTCCATGCACCTGGTGGGTTCCATGCACCTGGTGGGTTCCATGCACCTGGTGGGTTCCATGCACCTGGTGGGTTCCATGCACCTGGTGGGTTCCATGCACCTGGTGGGTTCCATGCACCTGGTGGGTTCCATGCACCTGGTGGGTTCCATGCACCTGGTGGGTTCCATGCACCTGGTGGGTTCCATGCACCTGGTGGGTCGCATGCACCTGGTGGGTCGCATGCACCTGGTGGGTCGCATGCACCTGGTGGGTCGCATGCACCTGGTGGGTCGCATGCACCTGGTGGGTCGCATGCACCTGGTGGGTCGCATGCACCTGGTGGGTCGCATGCACCTGGTGGGTCGCATGCACCTGGTGGGTCGCATGCACCTGGTGGGTCGCATGCACCTGGTGGGTCGCATGCACCTGGTGGGTCGCATGCACCTGGTGGGTCGCATGCACCTGGTGGGTCGCATGCACCTGGTGGGTCGCATGCACCTGTCACAGTGAGGATTGCAAGCAAGTCAAGAGGCCGCATGCAGGGGAGTGCGGTGGCGGCATGGCGGAAACAACACAGCTGCTTGTGACCCACGTGCATCAGGTGCAGGCGGAGCAACGGGTGGCGCAGCAGTGTAAGCATCTGGAGACGACGCTGCATGCGCTAGACCATCGGACAGCACTTGCACGTGCAGGCGCGGCTGGTCCACGGCAGACAAGGCGGACGATGCTGAGGGCGGTGGTGGAGGCAGCACGGCCCACAGCGATGACAGCCACACGTCAAGCGCTGCTGCATAGCTGCCGGTGGGCGGGGAGGACGTCGGTGTGTGCGTGGAAGAAAGAGACACAGGGAGAAGGTGGGTGGGGGAGAAAGGGTGTCGAGAGAGAGAGAGGGAGCAACAGAGAACGTTCGAGAAAGACTGGGAGGTACACATTCAGCTGTGCACTGACCCGCACGGGTGCTGGTCGTCCCCCAGCCCTCTGGGCAGCAGAGGCACCGCGCCCAGGTCCATCATGCGCCGATCCAACTTCTTGGCTGCTGCCTGCATGCCGTGTGATGATAGGATGGCATGCGAATGATGGCATGCGAATGATGGCATGCGAATGATGGCATGCACGCAATGGCATGCACGCATGCAATGGCATGCACGCAATGGCATCCATGCACGCAATGGCATGCACGCAATGGCATCCATGCATGCAATGGCATGGTTGGCGCATTCTGGTGTTAGCAATGTTTTCCAGCCGGCTCAAGAATGGAGCGGAGAAATTGCAGGGCAATGGGGAGGTGTGCGAGACAGCATGGATGAGTGAAGGCACTCGGAGGTCCCAAGATGGCGGACGGGTAGCAATATGCAGTGGGAGAGGGCGGGCGGGTAGAGCGAGGGGAGAGAGAGTGTGGTAGACGGGACGAGGTGATAAGCGGGCAGCGGGAACGTTACATTGAACAGCTGGTACGCAGAGTCCCCAAGGCCAAACACGGCGTAGCAAGTGCCGCGCAGCCAGTCACGCGGCAGCGAGCGCCGCAGCAGATAGCGCCAGAACCGCTGCGAGGGCGACGGGGAGAGAGGAGGGGTGGTGGGAGGGGTGGTGAGGGAAGTGGAGGTTTGAGGGCGCACGTGCACTTTAACGATGCACCTGAAACATACTCCTGCTGCAGCATCCACTCTCAGTGCTGCGTGCCTGCTCTCAGTGCTGCGTGCCTGCTCTCAGTGCTGCGTGCCTGCTCTCAGTGCTGCGTGCCTGCTCTCAGTGCTGCGTGCCTGCTCTCAGTGCTGCGTGCCTGCTCTCAGTGCTGCGTGTCGGTTTGCCCCACGGGTCCCCGCCGCCGCTCACCTTCATGCTGCCGGGCACCTCGCCCTGCCCCGTGGTGGCCACCACCAGCACCACCACCGCCTCCCCAGGCAGCTCCTCCTGCACGCACGCATGGTATGGCGGGGTTGGGGTGGTAAGGCCGCAGCAAGGAGGTCCCATGGCAGGACGCATGCACGCGTTGATCTGCTCCTGCTTCTAGCCTTCTCCCTCATCCGTTATCTTTCGCAACCCCGTCCAATGTCCGTTCGCCCCCATCCAGTCAGCCGCATCAAGCACCCCATCCCTCGTTCGAAGCCACACCCCTCTCACCGCGCGGTAGTCCCCCATGGACATCACCCGCGCGCCGTATCCGCGCCTCGCCGCCTCGCGCGCTACCTGCTCCCCCGCGTCCTGCGCGTTGCCCGTCTCCGACCCCACCAGCAGCAGCACCCGCGCCGCCAGCGCGCCGCCCGACGCCATCGCGGACTTGACTAGGGTCCGAGGCCTTACTGTGTGCGTAGCTAGTAGTATCGGGTTGTCGGATCGCGGAGCGTTCCGACACGGTGTCCGCTACACCGCGGCGCGTGGTCCTTTGATTGCAGAAAGCGATGATCGTAGCTGCTGGACGATTAGGCTGATGAAGCAAGGAGCAGGAAACACTCCTATAACCTCGTGCGCTATATTTTGCAGGGAAGGGGCTAATGTACACCTCGCTGACGCTATTGCCTAACGCTGAGAACAAGTTCCATGTGCCCTTTAAACCCGGAAACACCCTAAAATATTTTCGGATTCTCATAAAACTTACCTTCTTGGGAAACAGAAAATATTTTTTACTTGCTGACTTGTTTCAATGTGGTCTTTCGTTTGTTCGTCTAATCTAGCATCCTGCTATTAGAGGACTGATTGCACCACAAGGCCAGAGGTAGAAATTGAAACAGTCACTACCGCGTCCATCATTCTTGTGTACCAGCGCAGGGGTTGTGTATTGCAGCACACCTCATCGCATGAGTTCCCATTCCCATTCGCACCCAGCCCAGGTGCTCCGTATGTACTGCCGGCATCCCTCACCTCGTCCCACCGCCAGCTGTCTTCCCTCCCATGTCCGCACTCGCATGCCGCCTCTCGCTTGCCCGCCACTCCACTCATCTCCCGCATCTGCTCCCCTCTCCGCCTCTCCTTCCCCAGCACCGCCTGGCCCGGTACCTTCCGCGCGCCACATTACCGGCAGCCGTCCAGCCCCCACCATCCCCTCCGCGCCCCCTCACTTCCGCCATCCGCGCGCACTCTCCGCTTGCCCGCCTTCGCCCCGCCCGCGGCGGTCATTTTCCAGCAATGCTGGGCGCGGCTGTGGGGTCGCACATTGGCGTCATTGCTAGGGGAGCAAGGTCCGCTGTTGGCGCAAGTGTTGGTGGCGTGCGATCGGTTGCGAAGCCGTTAGCACTCAGCGAGAGGTCCGAAGGATCATCTATAAGGTTTGCTCCTCCGCGCGCGCTCCTTCTGGGGGGGTGCAGTTGCGCGCAGGGCAGAGCTGCTTCAAGCGGAGCAGTGCGGCAGGTGACGTCAGCTGTGTGCGGGCCAGCGAGCAGCGCTGGCGGTAGCGTGGGGGAGGCGGGGGGTGAACGATGGGGAGCGCAAGGGGGCCAGCAGAGATCTGAGCGTGAGCGATCTGGGTCAGTGCGGCAGGTTGGTGTCAGTACGGAGGAGCGACAGGAGGGAGGGGACACGCGGAAGAGAAGTGAGAGGGAGGGGGGAGGACACAGAGGAGAGAGAGGGGAAAGAGGGGAGAGAGGGGAGCGAGGAGGGAAGTCCAGCAGGCAGTGGCGGCGGCTGTGCTACTACCACACACAAGGGAAGTGCACTCTTAGCGGGGACAAGGACCACCTGAAGAAGTTTTCGCACGAGCTGCCCGACCTGTCGATGCGAGCAGGGCAGCTGAAGAAAGTTCGGAAGCAGGCGTTTGAGCACTTCCTGGTGCTGGACCTGGAAGGGCGCGAGGAGATCCTGGAGTTCCCCGTCGTGCTGCTCTGCGCACGGTCGCTGCGAGTGAAGGACCACTTCCACCGGTCAGGGCACGGCGCACATGGCCCTTGTGTGCACCCATGCACCCGTGAACCCATGCATTATGTACCCATGCTACCGTGCACCCATGAACACCCATGCAGCCATGTACCTATGGATGTACCCATTCACCCATGCACCCATGCACGCATGCACACCCACTCATGCACCCATGCACACCCATCCCTGCACCCACCCATGCACCCATTCGCCCATTCACCCGTGCACCCATGTGCCCATGCACGCATGCACGCATCCTTCTCATCCATGCACATCACTCACAGTTATTACCTATCCTCTCTTCTGCTGCTGCTGTCTCTCTCATCCACTTGCTCCACTGCGCCTCATTCCGCCCCTCATCTCTCCAGCCAAGCCTCCTTGCTCCCTCCATCCCCCCCCAACATGTGCACTCCCTTCCCCCTGCTCCCCCCTGCTCTCCCCTGCTACCCCCTGCTGCCCCCTGCTGCCCCCTGCTCCCCTCTGATCTCCCCTTCTCCCCCCTGCTCCCCCTTGCTGCCGCCTGCTCCCCCCTGCTGCCTCCTGCTGCCCCCTGCTGCCCCCTACTGCCCCGTGCTCCCCCCTGCTGACCCCTGCTGCCCCCTGCTGCCCCGTGCTCCCCCCTGCTGCCTCTGCTCCCTTATGCTTCCCCCTGCTGCCCCCTGCTGCCCCCTGCTGCCCCCTGCTGCCCCCTGCTTCCCCCTGCTGCCCCCTGCTTCCCCCTGCTGCCCCCTGCTGCCCCGTGCTCCCCCCTGCTGCCCCCTGCTCTCCCCTGCTCCCCTCTACTGCCCCCTGCTGCCCCCTGCTGCCCCCTGCTGCCTCCTGCTGCCCCCTGCTCCCCCCTGCTGCCCCCTGCTCTCCCCTGCTCCCCCCTTATGCCCCCTGCTACCCCCTGCTGCCCCCTGCTGCCCCCTGCTGCCCCCTGCTGCCCCCTGCTGCCCTCTGCTGCCCCCTGCCCTCCCAGGTTCGTGCGGCCGGACCGCATGACAGTTGAGCGGCAGGCGGAGTACATCGGGGGAAAGTACGGACCGTGGGGACTGGCCAGGTGAGGGCGAAGCTGCCGGTGCTGATGCTGATGGTCATCATGCCATGTTATTGCATGCCGCACCATCCTTGGAGCAGCTTTAAATGCCACCTCCCCTTGTCGCAATCAGTGACACGTGCCCCGCCCCCTCCCCTCTCTCCTCCTTTACTCAATCGCCCCCCCTTCTCCTAATTCTTCCCTCACACCCTCCTTGTATGTGCTTTCAAGCTCTCCCTCCCCAGTCTCGCCTGCTGCCACCGCTCCACTCCTTATCAGAACCAAGCCCCCCTGTAATCCCTCTGTTCTTTCCCCCTTGCATGCACGCACCCAGAGTGTGGCACGACACGGCCATCCCTTTCTCCCAAGTCCTTGCGGAGTTTGAGCAGTGGCTGGACCAGCACGACCTGCTGGCTCATGGCAGCACCAGCACTGTCTCCATAACCCAGATCGAGGAGGGTGCTGTGGACGAGAGGGGAAAGGAGGACGGCGACAAGTGGGAGAATGAGAGGGAGCAGCAGGGAGATGGTGGGAAAGAGGAGGGTTCTGAAGGGGACGAATCCAGCAATTCGGTCAGCTTGTCATCATCATCTGATGCAGCAGCAGCAGCAGCAGCACATGGGTTGGGCCACGGCCCCAGGTTGCGGTCAGCTGTACTGGTGACATGTGGCAACTGGGACGTGAAGACCAAGGTGGTGGAGCAGTGCCGTGACAGCCAGCTGCCGCTGCCCACGTACTTCCTGCAGTGGACCAACCTCAAGGACGTCTACCTCAACTTCTACAAGCGCAAGGTGCGAGGCTGCTGGCATGGCAGGTACGGCTCGCCGCTCATAAAGGTCAGCACGTGGTTCCATGTTTCTCTCCTGCCTGCGCTGCACATAACCCAACTGTTGTCCCTCGTGCTCAGCCCTTGTTCCAAGCTTGCTGCAATCCGTTCTTTTTTATTATTATCCATCCATCCATCAGCCCTGGCTCTTCGATCTCCCGTGTCCTTTCCTCTACCACACATATTCCTTCAATCATTATCCATCAACTTTAACCTGATCACAATTGTGTGGCATGGCACACCACGGCACCGCATTGCATGGCATGGCATGGCACTGCGTGGCATGGGATGGCACTATGCATGCACAGGCGTCGGGCATGATGCCGATGATGAAGGGGCTGCAGATGGCTCCACTGGGCACGCACCACGTGGGGCTGGACGATGCGCTCAACATCACGCGCGTGCTGCAGCGCATGCTCTCCCATGGCGCCCTCATCCGTGCCTCCGCCCGCCGCGTGGGCCCAGGGCCCACTGATGTGGAGTACATGTACAGGAGGCGGGTCAAGTGACAGCACATGCAGTCTGAGGCTACTCAAAATGCCGCAGCACTCGCCGATGTGACGCACATGCACAGGAGGCAGATGAGGTGAACCGTGTCGAGAGAATGGTTGAATAGGCAAGGCGAGACTGGGTATATCAAACAGATGTACCTTATACAAGTCTGAACCCTAGCTAGGCTATAGTTCGTACATTTCACATCAGCATATATGACAGCAAACACTGTCTACTTCTATGAATTTGTAGTTATAGGCTAGACAGGTGCATGCTCTTCGAGAGAACAACACACAAGCATAAGAATTTCCTATATTCTCTTGCCTAGTCACTTCGCTATTCTGATATGGTATCGGGCTAGGTTAGGTCTCCCCACTCGCGCTTCTGCCCTAGTCCCGTTGCACCGCCCTAGCCAGCCCGCTGGCCCCTAGCGCGTCGCGCGGCTTCTAGCCCGCCGTTGGCCCCTAGCTCGCCGCTGGCCCCTAGCCCACTGCTGGCCCCTAGCTCGCCGCTGGCCCTTCGCGCGCCGCGCAAACCCCCACGCGCCACGCAGCTCCTAGCCCGCCGCGACCCCTCGCGCGCCGCGTGGCTCCTAGCCCGACGCCGGTCCCCAGCACGCCGCAGGCCCCTAGCGTGCTGCTGGCCCTAGCTCGCCGGCCCTAGCTCGCCGGCCCTAGCTCGCCGCCCCCCCCTCGCGCCAGCCCCAGATCGCCAGCCTCTACTCCTGCTTGTCCCAGCTCCTGCCATCCCCAGCTTGCGCCGGCCCCAGCTCACGCCGACCCCAGCTCCTGCCGGCCCCAGCTCACGCCGGCCCCAGCGCGCACCGGTCCCGGCTCGCCGGCCCCAGCTCAGCTCGCGCTGGCTCCCTGCTCGCCACCGGCCCGCAGCCGGACCCCGCTCGCCACGCCACCCGGTTCGCCGCCGGCCCCGGTTGTCGTGCTGCCCCTGCTCGCAGCCGGCCTCAGCTAGCCGAGTTGCCCGCCCCGTCGTCGGCCCCAGCTTGCCGCGCCGCCCCAACTTGTCGTGCCACTGTGCCGCCCCAGCCTGCTGGCCCCTCCTCGCTGCCGGCCCTGGTTCCACTCTGAGCTGGCGCTTCCGTCGGCTGTCGCTCTCCACCGCTCTCCACTACTCTCCCCAGCCCCTGCCTGCCCCCTTCTCCTCCTCCTCTAGTGGTCATCAGCTGCTGTAGCCGTGGTGATGGCGGACGCTGTGCTGCGCCTGGACACGGAGGGTCGGGCGGTCGACTTTGAGGCGTGGCTCGCCGACCTCCGCCGCCAGCTGAAGGGTCAGCGCCAGGATGGCCAGTCCTTGGCCGTCCACATCAACGGTAAGCTCCCCTGCTCCAACCTGCCTGCTGCCCTCCCTGACGCCCCCACACCTGCTGAGGGTGAGGCCTTTGCGGCTGCTGAGCTCACCCGCTTTGTTTGGGAGTCGTGCAACGCAGTTGCGTAGCTTGCTATTGGTTACGCCCTCCCCCTGTCCGAGCATCTCCGCTTTCAGGCTGTAGAGACTGCGAAGGAGTACCTAAATGCCATCATTGCGCGCTATTCCACTCCCTCCTCCGCCAAAACTGGCCATCTCCGTCTCCACCTGATCTTCTGTGATCTTGTGTCCTTCCCCACTGTTGCTGATCTTGCCACTCACTTGTGCGCACTCGAGGCTAGCTACCGCACTACTAGCACTGAGGCCCAGCTCATGTACTGCCTCCCCCCCTCGGCGCTACCCTCTACTTCCTTGCCACATGCCTTCCCGACCGCCTTGTCACAGCCCGCGACCACTTCGTTAGTCTCCATCCCGCTGACCTAACCCTTACTAACTTTGTCACCACCCTGTCCACGATAGAGACCCGCCAGCGCACTATCGCGCGGTCTAGCGGTACAATGACGGTCCTTATCGTCCAGGGCTGTGCTCCCTCCCAGTGCACTTACTATGACGTTTCTTCTGCTGTCGCTGAGACAGTCCCAGTCGCTGAGACAGTCCTGGCCACTGAGACAGTCCCGGCCACTGAGACTGCCGCGGTGGCCTCAGCGCAGCCTCATCAGGGTAAGGGCCGCCGCCCCAAGGGGGGGACGTGGTGGAGGGAGGGGTGGCGGGGGTGATGGAGGTGGTGCAAGTGCCGGTGGTACAGACGAGGGCGCAGGGGCTGATGCCCCGGTGCAGCAGCAGGAGCAGCAGTAGCCCTGACAACAGCAACAGCAGTTGCAGCAACAGCAGCAATAACCGTGGGGACTCCCGCCGCCATGGTGGCCTAGCAACTTTGGTGGCGTCGGCCGTGGTGGCGGCTCACGCAGCTCGGCGTTGGGTGCCGGCTCCACTGCGGTGACTTGCCACTGCCAGCTTCAGACCAGCTCCGCACCGGTCACACCACCGCCCGCTGCTACCGCCGCCTCGACGACCTCTTCCATCTCCGTTTTGGGCCCGGCCGGACCTCCCGGACTGGAACAGCATGGTACGTCGTCGTGTGCCGGTCTTTGAGATGGATATGGATCAAAGCCGCTTTGCTTTGTATGCCATGTATGCTGATGATTCTAGTGTGACTGGACCTTATTACCTCGTGTTGCCTAGTGTAGGTGTGTCCACTGTGTGTAGTCTAGGCTCCTCTGCTGCGTCAGGCGTAGGACCTCCTGACTTGTTTAGCCTCGGCTCCACCCTTGTCCCTTCTCCGGCAGACACTACCACTACTCTCTCCTTCATGCTGGAATATGGTGCGTCCGCTTGCTTCTTTCGCGACCACACTGCGCTTACGTCACTTGTCGCCCCTGCAGCCGTTTCTCTTGCTGACCCCTCTTCAGATCCGATAGTTCCACGTAGCTCCACCATCCTTTCCGTGTCCGAGGTTTCCCTCGGGCTCCCTTACAGGCCTACACATCCCCTTGTTCTTCGGGAACCTAGTTGGTGTCGGCTGTCTTCAGGACCTCGGTGTCACCACTACGTTTCCTGGTCATCAGCGGTACGTGGTCTGTACCGAGGCCGCCACTAGTGGCCCCCTCACCACTTTCCTTGGGAACCTGGTGTCCGGCCTGTTAACGCTGGACACCGCGTCCCTGCCGGTAGGGGCGTCCTCTCAGGTGGCCACGCCTACCCAAGTCGCAGCGACTTGCTCGTGTCAATAGCTCACTCACCCGTCGCTTCTGTGGCACCACCGCCTAGGTTACCACATACTCCCTCGTCTACGTCACATGTCCCAGCACAACCTTGTCTTAGGTCTCCCTGCACTGCTTTCCGCCCTCCCTCCCTCGCTCGCACCTCAGTGCACGCCCTGCGTCGAGGGCCGGCTACACTGTGCCACTCCAGACCCTATACCTCGACGTCTGGGGCCTAGGCCCCGTCCCTGGGCTGCGTCGCGAGCGCTACTTTCTGGTGCTCGTAAAGGACTACACGCGCTACATCATGGTGTTTCCCCTAGAGCGGAAGTCCAACGCGAATGGCGTTCTTATCCCGTGGCTTGTGGCTGCGCAAGTACACCGCGTCCAGCCAGTGCTTCGTCTCCACTCCGACCGTGGCGATGAGTTCGCCTGTTCCGTGTTCCCACCCTATGTTGCTCCGGTCTAAAGCATCTCGTGCTCCTCCCTTTCCTGTTCTTACGTCATCTTCTCAATCGTCCCTCAATGTCTCCTTGCCTCCTCTCTTTGACTTCCTCCATGCTACTAGTCCTCTTGCTCCTCAGGACCTCGCCTCTCTTGTTACCGACCCATCCGTTCCGGTCTCCAGTCTCTCGGCTCTTGTCATTGCCATCGCAAACTTTGCCTCTATCTGGCGCCTTAACTATGCCACAACTACGGTCTCTGACCTTGCCTGTCCTCAATCTGTCGGGGGTGCTTCTGCCCTTGGCAGTGACGTCCTAGAGGATAGGCATTACGAGCTAGCATTCCTATCCAAAGCCGCTCCTCATTTGTGCTCCGTGCTGCTAGTCCCTGAGGGTGACCCAGATGCTCTTGACATCTTGACCCCTTGCACCTACGCTGACGCGAATTCGGAACCCTGAGCCTCTCAGTGGATAGTTGCCATGGACGCAGAGATGGCATCTTAGAGATCCACCGGCACCTACATGAACGCAGTTCCACCACCTAGGGCGAACGTAGTCGATGGCCGTAGATCTTCAAGGTGCAGCGCCCTCCAAGAGAGTCGTCAGTGTTCAAGGCGCGCTTGATTCAGCGCGAGGGTGTTGACTTCTTTAAGACCTTCGTTCCAACCCCGAAGATGACCACTCTTCGGGCGCTGCTTCACGTAGCAGCACAGCGCGACTACGAGCTGCACTCACTGGACTTCTCCACATCGTTTCTCCAGGGCAGTCTGCATGAGCAAATCTACCTACGCCGTCCGCCAGACTTCTCTGGCACTTTCCATCCTAGGACGGAGTGGTTCCTCCGACGCCCAGTTTATGGTGTGCAAAAGGCGCCCCGGGAGTGGCACGATACGGTGCATGCAATGTTAGCAGACCTGCAGTTCTTCCCATCCTTTGCTAACCCTTCGCTCTTCGTTCGCTCATGCCAGACTCCCTTCTACATCCTAGTCTACGTAGACGACATGGCCTTCGCTACAGCAGACAAAGATGTGCTGGCCTTGGTGAAGGCTGAGCTGCTGAAGAGACACAACTGCACTGACCTAGGAGATGCGCTGATACCTTGGGCTGGAGATCTCTCGGGACAGAGCAGCTCGCACCATCACTCTCACACAGGCACACTTCGTGCGCCAGGTCCTTCAGAGGTTCGGTCTTCAGTTCTGCTCCGCACAGCTTACACCTCTGCCAGTAGATCACAGGCTCTTGGCTATAGTCCGTAACGAGTCAGTTGAGCCCATTGGTCTGTACGCAGAGCTTGTGGGCTACCTTATGTACCTCTTAGCTGCAGACCAGTGCTATCGTTGGTGTCCGCCGGAGGCCACAAAGCGGGCCAGGATGCTGAGAGGGTATGCGAGATCTGAATGAGTGCAAGTCATCAGGTACATGGAGCAACCCACCAGCTCTGCGTAAGGACCACTAGGCTCTACAGCCTCCTCCGGAACTGGAGTAGAGAATCTGTGGTCTAGTGGCAGAGGGGTGGCTTGTGCGGAAGAGAACTGAAGGCCGAACCTCTAAAAGACCTGGCGCACCAAGTGTGACTGTGTGAGAGTGATGGTGCGCGCTGCTCTGTCCTGGGGGATCTGCAAGCCAAGGTAGCGGCGCAGGTCTCCTAGGTAAGTGCAGGTGACTCTCCTCAGCAGCTCGGCCTTCATGGAGGACAACGCGTCTCTATCTGCAGTAGCAACGACCAGATTGTCTATGTAAGCAAGGATGTAGAACGGAGTCTGGCCAGAACGG